AGGGCCTGCAGGCAGCCTATTGAGCACCGCAGCTATAAAGTTTAAGTCTTAACTAAATGCAATGGGTGACTGGGTGATGACAACATCGACAACAATCGTGAGGCATCATCATCTTAATCTGCTCCAGCAGGTAAATAAACGGTTTAAGAGAACATTAGCTTGATATTTTTGCATCCGTTGACATCAGCTAATGGTGCATTCCCTTTCTCCTCAAAACTTGGAAATTCTGACTTCCGAGTAGGAAAAATCAACTTTAGAAAAAGAACGGCAAAAGGAATAAAGATACACAGTATCCTAGTGATTGCCTTCTTGACTGTTATCATAAGTATCCTCATTAGGTATTGATCTCCCTTTGCTATTTCTTCCCGTATGGATCCTAGGTACATTAATTTAAATATCTGTGGAATAAAATATCCTAATATTATTTTGGTGTTCTTGTATATGTGGTTCCAAAAAGGTTTTATTCTCTTGCGTTCCCAGAATATATGGGTATGGTTGGGGTTTTTATTTCCACAATTCCTCCAACAGCTCATTTGTTTCTGTATTTGTTTACTTGTAATTTTAGGTGTGATAAAGTATCTTATTTGGTTCTGCCAGGCAAATTCCCTCCATTTTTGTGATTGTGTTGTCCTATTTTGTGTTTCCCACATCTCATTCCATTCCCCTTCCAGCATTTCTTCCTTAATTTCTTTTGCCCATTTTTCTTTGATAAATTGCGTTGATTGGTTTTCTATAGTTATTGTTTTATATATTAAGGATAAGTTTCTTTTGGGTGCTGGTTTTGTATATGTTTCAATCATCATTGTTATTATTTGATTATTCCCTTGAATTTTATTTTGAATTCAGTTGGTATAGTAGTCTCTTAGTTGTAGATATCTAAACATATCCTTATTTTCCCACTTCAAATTTTTCTTTAAGTTCTTGGAAACTGTTTAGCACTCCTTTTTTCTGAATGGTTCCTATTGCTGTCATTCCTGTCTCGTTCCATTTTTTGAATCTACTGTCCATCTTTCCCGGTTCAAAGTCCGAGTCCCAACCTATCCATCTTAGTAATCTTATTTCTCTGTCTATTTTTAGTTTCTTGCTTATCTTCCACCAGGTTTCCAAGCTAAACTTTGTTACTGGGTCCAATTATTCAATATATATATTGCGTTATGATGTGATAGGTCCGACCCTCCAATTTTGCATTCCTTTATTCTGTATCTATATTCTTTTTGTATCTCGAGTATTTTTTATGGTGTTCTGAGTGGTGGGTATAATTTTTTTGTGTGGGGTTGAGTTCTCTCCATATATCTATAAGTCTCATTTCTTTAGTTATTGTATTTATTAATTTGGTTAGTGATTTTTTATTTGTTGTGATACTTGTTGTATCGAGTTGGGAATTCATTATTAAGTTAAAGTCTCCTCCACATATACAAACCCCCTCCATTTCCATAGCGTATTTAGCATGTATTCATAGAATTGTTTATTACTTTCTGGCGGTGCGTATACATTGGCTAATGTTACCATCTCCTTTTCAATCTTTCGTTTGATTATGATAAATCAGCCTTCTTTATCTCGGATTTCTTTTACATTTTCATAGTTTTGTGAATTAGATATTAAAATTGCCACCCCTCTTTTCCGGTTGTTAGGACATGTATTATAGTATGCATTTTTAAACCCAAGTTTTTAAAGTTTTTCGTGTTCTTTCTGTGATAGATGGGTTTCTTGTAGAAAACTAAATTGTATTATTTCTTTTTTGATTTTATTTATTATTTTTGCTCTTTTTATTGGATTTCCCAGCCCATTTACATTTGATAACATTATTTTAATGTCTTGGTTTTTATCGTGCGTCATTTTTATTATTATTCTTTCCTCTTTTGTTTTTCACTTTCTCTTGATACATTCTCCCCTTTTTCCTTGCAGATGGCCTTCCTGGTCTTGAGATAAAGAAAATAAAAATAAAATAAAATAAGATAAAATACCCCCGCCCCCCTTTATGAACCCCCTTCTTGTAGCAACCAAACTTAGAACCTATTGCAACTAGGGCTGTCGCGGTTGAGGAATTCCCCCTGCGGTGATTCAGGGTGGCTTAATATTGCGGTGTGCGATATTATTGCAGCACTTTTTTTTATTGCAGTACTATCTAAACATAATGTTTACACATTTAAAAAAGGTTAAAAATTGCCGTGCCTTCTTTTATAACACTTTACTGAATGCAGATCAAAGGGCAGTAACAACACAGATCGCAGTAACATTTGTTTCTCCGACAGTCGGAGTCCAACTGAACTTAAAAACAACAAAATTCAGGAGAATGTTAAACTTTTAAATGCAAATTTGGCTGCAGCATCTAACAAATAAGAAACAAGTCCCCATTGTGTTTAGTTGTTTAAAATCAAGCATAAAAAATTACATGTACCGGGCGCGGGGCACTATCATTTCACTTTCACACACACGAATGACGGTGATTTATAGCTCGGTCACGTCCTTGTTACCCACAAGGAAAACCAGCATGTTAACTATATATGGTTTGAGAGAGGATCTGAGAGGGGCGGCAACATTTCCAGCAACACTGAAAACCCTCTCGGATGGTGCGCTCGTTGCAATAACGCACACGTACTTGTGTGCGACTCTGGCGAGCAAAGGGAATCTCTCCCGGTTGTTGCTCCACCATGTCAGGGGGGTTTCTGTAGGGTCGATGTGTTCCTCCTGCAGGTAGTGAGTGAGCTCCAGCTCAGCTCAAACTCTCTTCGGGACGGTTGCAGAAGCAGTGCTTGTCCAGGACTTCAGCAGGTCTCAGAGTGTTTATTTATTTATTTTTATTTATTTTTGCCGCTGGTGGCAGCTCTGTCTCGGCCAAGGACACTGGCTGCGCTGCAGCTGACGTACTGAATACCAAAGTGCTCCCAATGGAGCGAAGTAACGTTTCGTTTTGATACCAGTGCAGCCATCCTTCTCAACATGCATCATTAAGTTGAATCAAGTTCAGTAATCGCGGTGGCCCATGATGCAGCGCGGTGGGTTTCTTCATATTGCGATATTTCATTTTTGCGGTTACCGTGACAGCCCTAGTTGCAACAAGGTAACTGTCTTTGAACTTCCATTCTGAGATGCCCACTAATGACTCTCTTTCCCTCTTCTGGGGGAATGCCTTCCTATCAAGAAGGGCCCCCCTTCCTCCCCCTCAGTCCTATTCATTCCACTCTAATCCTTACCTAATGTCTCTCGTTAACCAACATTTTTATTATTCTTTTACCTTTATGTTCGCCTTATTTTTCTTGAGCGATATTTCTCCTTGGTTATTCTCCATCTGCCTTTTTTCTTCTGAGTTCGTATTCTTGCAGTCGTTCTCTGACTCTGTTCTTCATCATTCCGTTGTCCCCCACCTTTTTCCAGCTTGCCATTCCCTTTGTATTAGTCTCTTTATTCTTGTGTATTTCTTCTGCCAGCTGGAATCCTTCCACTTCCCATCCTCGCGTCTTCAGGTCCCTCGCAGCCTCCTCTGCATTTTCGTAGCTTTTCGTTCCGTCTTCCCAGAAGATGCGCATTGTAGTGTAGGGTGTTAGGAATCAGATTTTCATGCTCTTTAATTTTTTCTTTATTGGGAGATACGCCTTTCTCTGTTGCAGAACTTATGCAGTGTAGTCATGATCGAAATACACTCCCTCTCCTTCGAATGTCATTTTTTTCTTCTCCCCCAGGCTTTGTTCAGAATTATTTATTTTGCTTTACTTTGCTGGAAGTGTTTTATTATGGATCTGGGTGCCTGTCCTTCCTTCTAATGGACACTTGCAACTTGAGGTGCTTTTCTTAGCTGGCTGTTGCCACCCACAGCAGCCTTCAAATTCTCCTTTTTTAAAAATCTCTTCCTCAGCTAGCTTCTTTATATCTCCAAGTTGCTCAGACAGAATTTCTGTATTGATCCAGATTTAAAGAGACTTACCGTAAGCTAAGTGGGAAAAGAGCCTTAACGTGTACTAGGGTCAGATTTGATTTACTAATGGCAGATTCTGACCCACTGTCTAATAAGTTTCCTTCCTACTGAGCTGCCAGTTGTTGCAGCCATGTTGATTCATTGAGACCAATATTCCAGGCAAAAACAAAACAACAAAAATACCACCAGAACCACGAGAACAGTACTTGCTGTTGTATTACTCCTTTTGTATGTGGTATCCAAATGACTTTCCATAACCACTAAATGTTTTTGCTACATGAGGTTTTGCTAGGTCAGCATTACAATGTTGATTTGTGGTTTGATTTGTTGAATTACTATTTTATTGTCACACTTGTTTTAAATAGGAAGGTTTAATGGAAGAGACTGGAAGTGTGGTCTTTAGAACATAGTAGCGAGAGACCATTGAATAAGGGGAAAATGGGCATCTTGTTTCTGCAAGAACCTCTCGTCATGTCACACACACTGGCATTTTCTTTTGTCAGTAGTTAACTCATGACTTCATCCCAAAGATACTGTACCTGTAGTGCACCTTCAGAAACACATATCCACGAATATAATTAGATTTTTTAATCTAACCACTGTTAGGCTGCCAGTGGGCGTAACTTAACAGAGACTAAAAAGTGTTATTTTGTGGTTCCGCTCGCTTGCAGGAAAACCACTTGTTCAGTGAGAAGGATGCTTTTACCACATTCAAGTGTGCTTAATGCATTTTTGTCCTGTTGACCCTGTAAAAGATCAGATGGGTGTGTGTAACAAATTTGTCAGGTTCACATTTTCTCTCTTGCATTTGCATTACCATGGCTTTACCATGCACCAGACAGTTGAGCTGAAATAAAAAAAGAATTTCATTGCTTTTCCATTGAATAGTTTAAGCTTGTTCATCCATTGGCAACCTCTCTTCTCTATGAGTGTGCGAAATATCTCTAAACGTGAATGTTATATATAGCATTAGCACTCTTGATAATGCGGATCGAGTTAGCTTGCTATCAGATATGCTTTTCATGGATTTCATCACATCATGACTGTTTTCTGCTTCTTTCTTTTTATTTATTTTTTCTTTTCCTAGGTGATTTTTCTCATCATCTCCCACCACTTCCTCCTTCTGTCTTCCATTCATGAGCAGCGTGGCTGAGTTTAACAGCGGCAGCCATGGATGACAAGGGCTCGGTGGGGAAAATTAGCGTGTCTTCGGACTCAGTGTCTACTCTCAACAGTGAGGACTTTGTTCTTGTGTCTCGACTTGGGGACGAGACACCCTCCTCCACTAATAATGGTAGTGATGACGAAAAGACAGGACTGAAGGTAAGGCTGGTTGTGTAGATTGTTTTATCGACCTGTTGAAATTTGTAGTTTTAGGCTCTTTTTCACTATCAGAGCTTCGGGGCGATTTTTCCGGACATTCACGGTGTACGCGCGTTTCACCGGGCTGACCTGAGAGGACCTTTAGCTGGGCCATTTCTGGAACCACACAAGTCCCACTGTTGGTGTTTGTACTCTGAAATGACCCGTTGTGGTTAACTCATGCTGATTGGCTGTTACTCAGTGGGAAATTATATCGGCAGATGTTGCCAAACAACCAGTGTTTATGAAATTGGAAGAGTTGCTGACGAAGCAGAATGGGAGAAAAGGAAATAAGCAGTGTTGTTGTTGATGTAGCTTAAAAAAAGTCGCTCCAAAGCCGAACTTCCAAAGCCAAAAACTGAGGTGGAAATCTCCACTATGTCGTAATTTACGCTGCATTCTGGTCTCCATGGAGCGCCGTAAAAGCAGCATTTCTATTGGTTATTGAACGCTGCATTTTACATCACACAGTTACTTTCCCTGTCCCCTTAGTGGAATAAATTTTGGTGTACTTTAACAGAACAAAAAGTCATTGTTATTAATGTCTGTTTATTCCTGTGGGTGCCTGTTAGCGCTGGTCAGTGATGTCATTCACTACCAAAATGGTCGCTATATGCCGACGTCTTTCTGAAATCGTGAGAGGCGGATTTTGTATAGGGAGCCTAAGTCTTCTCCCTTTCCGGTCGGCTCATGGATCCCCGGAAGAACGAAAAAATGAATGCAAGTCAATGGGGCTAAAAACACAATTTTTTAATCCGCTTTGCCTTACGCCCTGGATCACACATATGTTCTACTGCGATTTAATTAAAAACTAATGATGGGTGTTTCAACCATGCCAGTTATGTACTTTGAGCTTTGTAAGCTTGTAAAAGTTCGTAATTAGCATGACTAAATTGGCATGTCGCTTATGTAACGTCACCACATAATCTCCTCTCCCCAAAGTAGCTGCTACTCACCAAATAGCCAGATTTATGGTGCTTCTTTCCTCCTGTGGGAAAGATGTGAAGTTTGCTGAACTTACAGCCATTTTCCCTCAGTTTTCTCAGCGTCTGGTTTGATGACTGTCTCTTTCGTGAAGCGCATTTATTAATAATAATACATTTTATTTAAAAAAGCCTTTCTGGTCACTCAAGGACACTGTATAGAATAAAAACACAAATCATTCAATAAGTAAACATGCGTAAACATCAGCAAACAAGGCACTCTAAAATTCAAAGTTGATATGTGGTTATGAAGAAGTGAGTTTTGAGTTGTTTTTTGAATTCTGTGAATGAGTTACTGTTCTTGATGAGAGGGGGAAGGGAGTTCCAGAGTTTGGGAGTGGTGCAGCTGAAGGCTCTACTCCCCATGGTGCTGAGACGGAAGAAGGGCACAGAGAGATGAATGGAGGAGGAGGACCCGAGGGAATGGGACGAGGTGAAGATGTGAACGAGATCTGTGAGGTAGTGAGGGGCGAGGTTATGGATGGCCTTGAAGGTGAGAAGGAGAATCTTGTAGTTAATCCTGGTATGCACTGGTAGCCAATGGAGTTGTTTGAGGATGGGGGTGATGTGATGAGAGATGGGAGTTTTAGTGAAAATGCGTGCTGCTGCATTCTGAACTAACTGGAGCTTACGGAGAGTTTTCTGAGGGAGATCTGAGAGAAGAGAGTTGCATTAATTGATACGTGATGTAACCAGACTATGGACAGAATAGAAGTAGAGTGGACATCAAGGGAGGGGCGAAGACAATTAATGTTATGAAGATGGAGATAAGCTGACCATGTGATGCTATTGATATGAGATTGGAAAGATAGTGTGCTGTCAAGGATGACACCCAGACTCTTGACCTGGGGAGAGGGGGAAACTGAAGTATTATCAACAGTGAGAGAGAAACTGTCAAATTTAGACAGGGTGTTCTTGGTCCCAACCAAAAGAAGTTCTGTTTTGTCTGTATTTAATTTCAGGAAGTTTGAACTGAACCAGGATTTTATTTCTTGAAGGCAGGTGATGAGGGAGGAGGGAGGAAGTGCAGAATTTGGCTTACTGGACAAATAGAGCTGGGTATCATCCTCGAAGCAGTGAAAATGAATATTGAATCTGCGGAAAATATTGCCAAGGGGAAGGATGTATATAATGAAAAGGAGGGGCCCCAGGACAGAGCCCTGGGGCACACCAGAAGAGACAGGAGAGGGCTGTGAGCGGGAGGATTTGATAGTAATGAACTGAGTGCGACCTGATAGGTAGGACTGGAGCCACTGAACTGGGATGTTAGCAATGCCGATGGAGGATAACCTATGGAAAAGAATGGAATGAGATATTGTGTCAAAGGCTGCACTCAGATCAAGGAGGACCAGGATGGATAGTAGACCAGAATCAGCAGCAATGAGGAGATCGTTAGTTATTTTGAGGAGGGCTGTTTGTGTATTGTTAAGTGGGCGGAAACCGGACTGAAAGGGTTCATAGAAGGAGTTTAGTGTCAGATAGGTGTGGAGCTGGGCAGTGACTATTTTTTCTAAGACTTTGGAGATAAAGGGTAGGTTGGAGATGGGGCGGAGATCAGTAAAAATGTTAAGATCCGAACCAGGTTTTTTAAGTATTGAAGTAACTGCAGCAGTTTTGAAGATAGAGGGAACAATACCGGAGGAAAGGGATGCGTGTGTGAGAGCGAAGACGAGAGGGAGCAGGGAGGGAAGGCAGGATTTAACCAAGGCTGTGGGAAGGGGGTCGAGAAGGCAGGTAGAAGGCTTTGACTTGTGGATAATATCTGATATCTCAGAATCACTGGGAAGTTGGAAAATGAAAAATAACTGTGTTGGTTCGGGAGGATCATATGGGGAGGTAGGGAAGATGCTTTGGTTGATTGCACGGTGAATGTTTATTATTTTTTCATTGAAGAACAGAAGAAGGGCATTACAAGTAGCAGTAGAGCACGTGTGTGTGCGTGTGTGTGTGTGTGTGTGGGGGGGTGTCGGATGGCCGGTGAATTTTATTGATAATGACTTAGTGTTGCCTCGATTGGAGTTGATTAGACAGGAGTAATACTGTTGTTTGGTTAGTGTAATGAAGCCGTTCTTATACTGAGTCATATGATTTTTATATAGTTCTCTGTGAATGGTGAGACCAGTTTTTCTGTAGAGGCCTTCAAGCTGTCTGGATTTGGTTTTCAGCGTCCGCAGTTGATGGGATAACCAGGGAGCAGACTGACAGAAAGTAACAGAATGGGTTTTAACTGGAGCAAGGGAGTTTAAAATCTGAGCTAACTGATCATTGTAAAGAGCAGCCAGGTCATCAGGAGATGAGAGATTGTCCGGTAGCTGAATATTTTAAATATAGGAGGATAAAGTGTCGATATTGATGTCCTTTATATTCCTAAAAGCCGGGTTGGTTTTGTAAAAGAAAGCTGGGTTACAATATTGAAAGAAATAAAATAGTGATCAGTGATGTGGAGATCATCAGCTGCACAGTTAAGAGGGGTGAGATCAGAGCAGCACAGCAGATCCAGGCAGTGTCCTTTGGAGTGAGTTGGAAAGTTGATGTGCTGATTAAATTCAAGGCTGTCCAGGCAGGGTGAGAAGTCTTTGGTGAGGGGAAGATCGCTGTTGTCCATGTGTATGTTAACATCTCCAAGCACTATTACATTAGATGAGAGTGTAGATAAATGAGTGAGCAGTATTGAGACTTCTGACAGAAAGTCTTTGTGAGGTTTAGGGGGGCGGTAGATTAATCCAGTGATAGTGGGGGTAGGCCCATTAAGTTTAAAAACCAAATACTCAAAGGAATTAAAATCAGAGACAGACACTGGCAAAACTTTCCAATTCTCGCAATAGATTATTGCGAGAACCGCGTGGTTTGGTTAGGTAAATAAACCTGGGAGGAGTAGCGTCGTTGAGCTGGGAGAAATCAGCTGGCTGTTGCCAAGTTTCGCAAAGGCACATGAAGTCGATTCCACGGTCCTTGATGAGATAATGAATGAAATGACTTTTCCCAGTGAGAGAGCGGATGTTGAGAAGGCCGAAGTTGATGGTGGTGCTGTCACATCCATGAGCGTTAGCTGTCCTGGCGAGGCTGGCTAACGAGGAGCGATCAGCTGCCCGGTGGTATGAGTTCCTGTGAGGATGACGGCGAGTGGTCGACCAGAAAGAATGGATTGAAGTGGAGTTGTGGTAGTGGAAATTCCTGCGTGAGCCGCGGCGGACATATCTCCGACGGAGAAGATGAGAGATGTTCGGGTCGAGGTGCAGTGAAGCCGGTGGAGATCCAGGGTGGTGGCGATTCCTGAGGAGCTCAGCGGCAGTGTACTGGAGGAGACCAGCAGCAGGTCGGTGGAAGATAAATGAAATAATCCAGATGAGTGCGGACCACACGTGAATAGCGTTGGTCCACATAATGGAGGTTAGGATTGATATTGATATCCACAGTCCAGTCACAGTCCAGTCAACAATCCGATAGTGTCAGTCCAACAAATAAAATCAAATAAAATCAAAGTTTACCGGTGAGCAGCGGCAGCCAAACGCGCCAGCGTTCACTCAACCGTAATGTAGTTGCATTTGTAGTCCTGGACTTATTTTCACACAAAACCTAAAATAGTATTTCCCCTCGTTCTAAAATAAGCAAGTTCTTTGTATCAAAATGCCTCTTTAAAATTCACAGACACTATATGTAAAATCCATGGCACAAAACAAGCGGAATTAGAAAATAGCGTTTTTAGCCCCATTGACTTGCATTAATTTTTTCGTTCTTCCGGGGACCTGAGGTAGACACAAAGGCTGAGAGAACCGAGCCAGCATGGTATTTCCTTCACCTTCCCCCATCCCAGGATTATCCCTGAACTTGCATAGTGGAAATGGATCTTATTTTAACCAAATGTCCATAAATAATCCTCTAAGGTCCTTTTTACTGTAGCTTTGCTCAGTAGTGATGGAGCTCCCATGGCCTTCATCAAATTAAAACATTCACATCAATAAACTCATTTGCTGCCAG